CTAAGAATAAACAAAATATTCCATTAAAATGCAAAAAATAACTTTTAAGATAGAGCTAGCATACCAAATGCTCATAATACTTAAATTACATGAACAACTTTCAGACAGAAAGATGGAGAGCTCTTGTGGGATGTCCTGGGGACGGGCTGAGGCCCAAGTCGTTCCTCATTCTGTCTGCTCTTGGAGAGGTCCTGCTGTTCTCAGGGAGCTGTCAAAAGCTGACTTTGCTCTCCATTACCCTTACTTAGTCTGATGCAACAAGCAGTCACCTGCTTTATCCACTTGTCCAAGAGTCCACAGAACTTCTCAGCTCAGTGAATCATAGCAGGTTAGTGACTTGGGCAAGTCCTGCTCCTAAATGATCCCATCATGAAAAGCTGAGAACAAGAACAGAGCATTCAAAGACTTTGTGGCTTGCTCATTACAGACAGCCACCCAGCTGGACACATTGACTTTTTCTCCATGCCTGGTCTTTAGTCTAACCCTAAACCAAATCAGTTAAAAGCCCATCTATTCAACATAACAGTTCATATCTTAGGCAAGTCAACAAACATTTATTAAACTCTCACCATGTGCTATAAAAAAATCTGCATTAGAAAAAACGGCCAGTTTTATCTTTGCCATAAAAGACTTCTGGAAAAAGCTATCTATGCCAGATGCCTCTGTTTCTTCCAGGCCTCAGCTCCTTCAACCCCTTGAATGCAGGCTCCCGCCCCCATCACTCTTCTGAATCTGCTCCCTCCAACGTCACTATTGACCTAATTGCTAACTAAACCCAATAGTTTCCCATAAGTTTGTCCTCGTCCTCTGTGATCTCTGCAAATTTCAATGGTGCTGGCCCCTCCACATGTTGCTAGATACCTTCTCCCATGGCTCCAAAGATTCCAGGCTTTTCTAATTCTCCTTCTGATGCCTCACCGTCTCTCCATCCTCTTCTTAAAGGGACTGTTCTCATAGCATCATGGAACTAGAGGTGGAAGGGACCTCAGAGGCATGCTAGGTCAACACCTTCATCAACTTGATGCACATAACTCCCAAAATGAAAGCCTCAGTCTTGCCTTTAGGACCAGCCACTGCGTGTCCCACCAGTACCCCAAATCCAATATGTCAAATCTTGTTTCTTCTTAAATGACATTGTTCCCATATGTTCCCTTCTTTCAACCCATGCACCACGGCCTTAGCCCAGACCCTCACCATCTCCAGTCTAGACCAGTGCCTCTTAAACTGTGGGTCACAGCCTTGGCAACAGTAAAAGGTTTCTGAACAGGCAATGACCAAAAATTAATTAATCAAACATCTTAAATCCGAGGTATTATTTCTGGCAGAGCTTACCAAAGCCTGGATTCTGAACACAAAGCATTCACACTTTGCACTGTGCATGCCCTCAGGCAGGCAAAGGGGTCTTAGAGTGAGAAAAGTTCAAGAAGCCCTGGTCTAGACTATCGCAATCCCCTTCTAATTGACGGCCCTACCTCTACCCTCTCTCCTCTCCGATATCCCCTCCACACAGCTGCTAAAGTGATTTTGCTAACACGTAGATCTGATCGTGTCATTCCTCCATTCAAACTAATCTTCAGTGGCTCCCTATTACCTGTAGGCTCCAATACAGTCATAAGCCTAGGTTTTCTGACTTGGTATCCAGTACCCTCTCCATTGCTTTGAACATAGTACAGACAAAATAAACATGGTGAGTGATAGCCCCACCTGAGTCAAAAGCAAAATGAAAGACTCTGGGGTCTGAGGGCCTAGGTTTAAACGCTGGCTCTGCTACTGACTGACTGTGTGACCAAAGGCAGATGGTTTCCCCTTTCTGTGCCTTCATTTCCTCACCTCTAGAGTGAAGGGAGTGGGCCGGATGGCCACCACGATCCTTTCTGGCTTCAGATCTAAGATCACTTAGGTAACTCTAGGTTCAAATTTTGTCTCTCACATACTGACTATGTGACCCTGGGCAAGTCACCTTAATTCTCAGTTCCTTTGGCAACTCTCAAAGGCTGGATGGAAGTTACAGAGCAGATGCTGATCTCTAATGGTTAGAACCCACCCCTACACCAATGAAATCACAGACACTGAAAAAAAAAACCAATGATATAGCTTTGAAGCAAAGGAACTAAGACTTAATGTGGCAAAGGGAAAGTGGGTCAGAGTGTTTTTTAAGCTCCAGGAATACCCCCCCCCACCTCTTACACACACACACACACACACACACACAACCATCAAATCATCAAATGCTTTTCCTTGTGCTGAGGAGACAAACTGCTCACATTCGTTTCTTGAGATAAAACATTGCTGCCACCTCAAGCCCCTGCTCTACCCTGGCTCACAAGAAGCTGGGTCCCTGATGCAGAAGCCAACAGCTCTTCCACAGTGACAAGCAAGGCACCCTTAGATGTGTTTGCTTATCACCAAGCAACAGCTTTCTAATCATTTCATCAGCTATCCTGAGTCTTCATGGAGACAGCCAGATGGAGAGAGGGAAATCAAAAATTAAGCACGGTACACTTGTCCACACAGCCCACCTGCCCAGTTAGGAAAGCCTGGAGCTCTGACTGAACATTCTCCCAGGATCACAAACTGATGGGAGACCGATGCATTCTTGAAAGCCTCTGCTAACTGAAAGTCTGTTTGCAGGAACAAACTGGTGCTGGCATCTCCCAGGAACATAGAAGCATCTGATATTAACAAGTCGACATTAGGGCACAGTTTCCTGCGGGCAAGTCAATGCTGTGCCATGGGAAGTGACAATCTCTACTGCAAGTCACTCTAACCCCTGAGTAGAAAATAATAATAGCCAAGGAGGTGGGATGGGGAGAGAAACACTTCAGACTAACTTTAATAACAAAACCAGGTTTTAAGGTAGGGAATGAGGGCACTCCCACAGAAAGACTATTTCCCCCTCTCATCTGATAGAAGGTGCAAAGGAGAAAATGTGTCTACGAGCCCAGAAGACTGGTAACATCCCTGATGTCCCAAATAGCGAAGAATCTCATTGGATACCCCAGGGTGATCTCTAGGATAGAGGCACTGGACCCTCGGATAAAGCCCTGGAAAACAGCATGGACTTTATCAAAACACTAGCACATGTGTCCATGATGTCAGTATCTTACTTAAGTTGCTAAAATGCTGACTGAGGAATGCAGCACTCCATCCATCTTTGCAGGGCAAATGAACTGATGTTTCAGAGACAAAGCAAGCACTCCTTGGAGAATCCAGATTTCAAACCCTCCAGGGCCAATAATAGAACCTACCTCTTCACCTCCCACCCAAACTACCCCCAATAGAGGCAGAAAGGCTGGTAAGCCAAAGCTGTGAGCAGTGAGCCGTCTCATCTCCAAAACATTTTCTCCATGACTTAACAACGCAGTTGTTAAGTTTTCAAGGGGCTCAGACTTCTCTTAGGTATTTGATATTGTTTTGGACTAGGGCTACTGTCAAAAAGGGGTTTTGGCTCCCCGAGTACATGCCATACAATCAAGTTCAGGTGTGCAGAAGAGGCAGGAAACAATCTAACCGGAGGGACTAACCCAAGAGCTGACCAGTGAGGTCAGCTCAGCCCAGCTCTGTGAGTGGGTGCTCAAGCTGACAGTCTTCTCTTAAAGTAGCCGAACAGGAATTGGGAATGCAGATAAATCCCCAATTATTCAATCCAAGTGGGTAAACTAAGCATAACCAGGCCAGTCTCTCACCTTGGAGGTTTCGTTTCCATTTGAGGCTTTAGCTTGGGAAAGTACTGTCTCCAGATGAGCAGGGCCCTCTCATGGAGAAGTGTTGTACAAATTGGAGAGGGGCAAGGGTGGAGAGGTTTGTAGCCTGCAAATGTTATGAGCCAATGATGCTCAAACATCCTGGCAAGCGTGTTGGCCCGCCACATGGGACAACGCACTTTACCAGGAGCAGCTGTAACCCTGAGAATGCCAACCTGGAGAGCTGCTCTGGACCCAGCTTTCGGAGAAGTGAGCAGCTCAGACAGGCTCCAGCCCCATCCACTGTCCTGGGTGAGTCTTCCCAGAACAAAGATTGAGACAATCAAATCTGGCACCACACCAAATCCGGCCCAAACACAAGAGATGTCGACCTGCTGTCTTAGCCTCAGGCGCCCCTGAAATGCACACTTTCTTCACTTGGTCCACTCCACTGATCCAAAAGCCGACTTAGCATTGTTGCCAGCAAAATGGGGGCAAGATTTACAGTAGTAACCCTAGCAAGTCAAAGCCACTGGCATTTCCATAAACAGCCCAGGAAGACTTATTTTCATAAACACAGAGGACAAAGACACTCCTTTCCATAAACACCCAGGTCAAAGACACTCCTTTCCAAAACACCCGGGTCACAGAGGCTCATTTCCATACCCCACCCCCCATCATGGATTCCAGGGGATGCACAGCACACATGGTGCAATCTCTGAAATACAAAGAGAAGGGGCTTTTACACTGCGGGAGGACCCCTCAAGGTCCATTTAACACAACTTCCTGGAAGTGGAGGAACTAGAGACACTATTCAATGAACTCTCCCAATTGGTTTTTTTTTTTTTTTTTCTGACAGGCTCTCAGCTGGCCAAATACTTTTCTCCCCCTCTTCTTCTTTTTTTCTTTTGCAGAGATCTCTGCCCCCTTGATTGCCCACCCGCAGTCCAACCATCCGTCCGTCCATCCATCCATCCATCCATCCATCCATCCATCCATCCATCCATCCACCCATCCCATCCACCCATTCCGCACTCTCCGACGCGGGTTTTCCCTGGATCATGCCGAGAAGGAGTACAAGCCCTGTTTCCTGGGATCCGGAGGAAAGAAAAAACACATTTTACACGCCTCTAAACGCATCCTTTCTGGAAGTCTCTCCTCAGGAGCAACCGAGCGACTGGGGACCAGGAACGCCGCGCCCCGGCCTGGCGGAGCCCGGGCTGTCCCCACAAGACGCACTGGCGGCCTGGCGCATTTCGGGACCCCCTGTCCCAGACCGCCCCCCCGACTGGGGCGGCCCCGAAGCTTCTCCCTTACCCTCGATGGCGATGACATGCTCCCGGATCTGGCTCTGCAGCACGGGCTCCTCCACGCGCTCCAGCAGCTCATAGATGGAGTAGATGTTGGGGTGCACGGACTCGAAGCGCTGGATCTCGGCCCGGATGGCAGCCGAGTTGGCCAGCTGCTGCTGGTAGTTCATGGTGCCAAAGCGCCGGGCCCCACCGTCCGGCCGTCCGCCGGTCAGCCCGCCCGTCCGCCCGCACGCCGTCCCCTCCTCCTCCTCCTCCGACGGCCCGGCTCGGCTGCGGGGAGGCTGCGGGGCGGCCGGCCTCGGGGGGCTCGCTCAGCACCGAGCCCCCATGCAGCGGCGGAGGCAGGCCAGGGCCGGGAGCAGCCGGCGGCTCGCGCTCTCTCCGAGGCGGCCCCGGGAGTGCCCGGCCGCTTCCCCGGCGCCGCCTGCGCTCCGTTCTCCTCGGCTCCCGCGGCTGCTGCTGCTGCCTCCTCCTCCGGGGAGCCACCGGCGCGGCCGCTCCGGCCCCGGCAGCCTAGGC